TAAAGGTGAATCCGAAGTCATGAATGGTAGAACTGAACTTAGCAAACCAAGCACGAGGCACTTGCTTGAGACCATAAAGAGCACGCTGTAGTTTGCAAACCTGATGAGGTTGAAAAGTGGACCCAGGTGGAGGTTGCATGTAGACCTCCTCAAGAAGATGACCATTGAGGAAAGCATTTTTGACATCCATCTGAAAGAGCCCCCAGTGGCGAGCAGTAGCAACAGCAAGTAAACTGTGAACAGAGGTACGCCGAGCAACAGGAGAGAATGTCTCCTCATAATCAATGCCATATTCTTGGTTGAAACCCTTGGCAACAAGACGAGTTTTGTAGCGTTCAATAGAGCCATCAGAATGTGTTTTGATTTTGTAAACCCATTTGCAGCCAATCGCAGTCTTGCCAGGAGGAAGATCAACTAGATCCCAAGTATGAGCTTTGTCCAAGGCATGGAGTTCATCAGTCATAGCTTGCTGCCAAAGAGGATTAGTACAAGCCTCACGATAGGAGGTAGGTTCATAAGTAGAGAAGGCAGCAGATCCAACAATATAATCACGAAGATGGATAGGAGGTTGAGTTACCCGGCGTGGTCGACCCGTAGGAGGATCGGTGGGAGGAAGAGCCGGTGGAGAAGGAGGTGTGGCAACAAGAGGTAGACCTTCAGGTAGAGCAAGCTGGACAGGATCAGGGGTGAGCAAGGATGTCTCGATGGAGGAGGAACCTGTATCAAAATCAGCAGAGAAAAGATCGATGGAAGGATTAGTAAACAGTGCAGTAGTGGAAAGTCCGGGTAGGTGAAATGAGGAGAGCGAGGAAAACATTTGGTGTTCCCAGAAAACGACATGGCGGGAGATACGAAGACGTTTAGAAAGAGGATCCCAACAGCGAAAGCCTTTATGTTCAATGCCATACCCAAGAAAGCAACAAAGACGAGAGCGAGGTTCAAGCTTGGTGTGTTCATGGGATTGAAGTAGAACAAAACAAGCAGAGCCAAAAACCCGGAGATTGGCGTAAGGAGGGGGAGTGCCATGCAGACGTTCAAAGGGAGTTTGATTATGGATGACAGGGGTAGGAGCACAGTTGATAGTGTAAACAGCAGTGAGAGCAGCTTCTCCCCAAAAGTTTTCAGGACAGGAAGAAGAGAGAAGGAGAGCGCGAGTAGTGTCAAGAATATGCCTATGTTTCCGTTCAGCGCGGCCATTTTGCTGGGACATGCCAGCACAAGAGCGATGAGGCAGTGTACCATGATGCTGAAGAAAGGAAAGGAAATCTGAATCCCGATATTCCATAGCATTGTCAGAGCGAAAAATTTTGATGGATTTGGAGAATTGGGTGTGGACCATTTGGGCAAATCTATAATAAATGTGTTTAAGTTCAGACCTATTTTTCATGAGAAAAAACCAAGTAAACCGGGAAAAATCATCAATAAAAACAACAAAATAGCGGGATCCCCCCATAGTAGTAGTAGGGGAGGGCCCCCAAATATCCGAATGTATAAGATCAAAAGGGGCAAGAGAAACAGAAGTACTCTTATTAAATGATAAAGCAGGTTGTTTGGCAAGTTGACAGGGTATACAATCGAAATTATCGGGAATTACATGACCCAACTGTCCACTAGAAACCAAAGACCTTAAACGAGTAACAGAAATATGCCCTAAGCGACAATGCCAAAGATGAAAGGGAGATAATAAGGAAGTAGATGTAGGAGCAGCAATCTGAGGAGAGGCAGGAACATGAAGGTGAATGAGTTCATAGAGACGTCCACGCTTACGGCCGATCCCAATAGTCTGCCCTGTCTGAGGGTCCTGTACCAAACAATCAGTAGCAGAAAAGGTGACAGTTAGACCAAGTTCACATAATTGACCAATGGAAATAAGGTTTAAGGTAAGAGCAGGGATATGATAAACGTGAGGTAGAGATAAAGAAGAGGTGGAAACAGTACCAACATGACGAACAGACATGAGGGAACCATCAGCAGTATGTATTGAGGGAATATGAGGAGATGAAGATAAGGAAGAAAAGATAGTAGAACTGGAGGTCATATGATTACAACAGGCAGAGTCAAAATACCAAGAGGAGTTACCTGGGATTACAGACAAAGCAGTAGGAGGAGGTGTACCAGATGAGGAGAGAAGTTGTTTGAGCATGGCCTCTACATCCGTTGGAGAAAAGTGAGGGGTAGATGGAGCAGGTGACTCAGAGAACCCTGCAGAGGCAGCAGCATCAGTGTGATGAGACTGATTCCCAGAAGCAGCAGCAGCAGTGTGATAAGACTGATTCCCGGAAGCAGAAGTAGCAGTGTGATGAGACTGGTTGCCGAAACGATGAAAACTTCCCCGGGAAGAGCCACCGCGAGAGGAGTGGCTATTGGACGATGATCGGGATGGATTGCGAAAACAATCCTGTTGCAGATGACCAGGACCAAGTTTGTTGCAGTAGCGGCAGGATCTGACGGGGCAATGGACCAGGAGATGGGTTGAAGGAAGGCCCCGATTCTGACAGTAGAGGCTGAAGTTGATATTGATGGGCAAGACCAGTAGTCTGGTATCGTTCTTTCAAAAAATCCCAGATGTCTTTCTCAGGAGTAGTTACAGAGTCAAGCTGAAAGCGGCCAAATTGAAGACTGATAGAGGTAACAGAGGTATTACGAAACCAGGTAATGATTTGGTAATTCTTACTGTCCCATTCCTCAAGTCGGTCTTCATATGTAGCAGTATGAACAGGAGTTTCAGTAGTGGCACTGTCTTTTACTGGTTTAGCCACATCCCCGGTGACAATTCGCCAGAGCTTCTTGCCTTTGAGGAAAGAGGACATAGCTTGGGCCCACAGAACATAGTTTGAACCATTTAAAATGACGGAAATGGGATGGGAGGCATCATGACGATCCATAATACTAGTTGAGTAGGGTTAAAGTAATAGGAATAGACCCGTAGGAGCAAAATTAGGTAAAACAGAGTGTACCAGTGAGTCCGGAAGGTTGAAAATAGCAAGGAAAGGTATGCTGGACAGAGATGATGTCAGCAGTGATGTCAGCGGCGCACGTTAGCAGAGTGCAGGGAGGAGCACGTTAGCAGGTAGGCGACGGCGCACGGTAGCAGACAGGCGCGGCGCACGTTAGCTGGTTTGGCGCACGCGGGTGCACACTAGCGAAGTGGTGCACGAAACGCGTACGGTAGCAGGCGCGGCGTATGGGAGCCGCGGACGTGTGGGCGCGTGTTGGCGCGTGGCAGAAGTGAGCGACAGCAGATGGCGCGTGTGGGCGCGTGTGAGAGTGGTGGCGGAAGTGTTGACGCGCAGAGGATAAGGGCGGCGCGTGAGGGCGCGTGTTAGGTTTTCTGAGAACGGGCTTGGTGCCGTTGGAATCAGGAGAAAATTTCGAACAGTTTGATGTAGTGTGCCACTGTATACGGGACTAAAAAATTGCCAGAAATGTAACACTGGGCTCTGATACCATGTAAGATTAGTTTGAGAGAGTGAGAGAAGCTATAGAGCGAGAGAGAAACTCTGAAATGTTTGTATTTACATTAATTTACAAAGAGAATGAAGTCTCTCTTTATAGAGAGAAATATGGGCATTGGATACCAAAGAACCCACTACCACTGAAAGCATAAAGTGAAGCTATACAATTAACAATTACACCGAAAGCATAAAGTAAAGCTATACAATTAATAATGATAAAGCTAAAACTATTCTAATTAACAAGTATATACTAACATTCTTAATAGATAGTTTGCTAGATTTGAATTTTTATTTTGGGATGATAATTTGGAATGATTAACCAACATATTTACATTCCTAATGATGAGAAATATTGATTAGTTGAATACGCATTCATTGGCTTGAGTATGTGCTTGACCTTCAAATTCTTCCCCACAACCCTGAGAGAAAAGGTGGAATGATGTGTCAAACAAGGATCTCATGATGGGCTGAATTTCTTATTTCCATTATTGAGAGTTTTAACATTTTATTGTGTTGTTATTTTCAGAAAATAATGCAAATAAATACACAGTACTAGGAGAAACTGTTATCACTTCGAACCCAACAAACCAAACGAAAAGAAGAATTTTTTCTCAAGGAGGCGCAGGTTCGGCTACATCAGTATCAGCAAGCTGGATTGAATCACCACCACCCAACCAATGCAAGCCCAATTGATCCTTGTGGTGGCTACGGTGGGGCAGCAGCCACAGAAGCACACCGGGCTTATGCCACTGGTCAATCTGAGTCCTACACAGATAGAACACCATTTCTTGGGGGTGGGAGGAATCAACGAACTGAGGCTAGAGTTCCAATCCCTGAGGGCTGTGTTTACAACAATACCAGTGCCCGCTATTACTTATATAACAGTTGCAATAAAATACATATAAGTTGGTTGGAACAGCATACTGACTGCATTCTTCTCTCTCGCTCTCTCTCATGTTTCTATTCTGGTGTTGTTTGAATGTGAAATAGAGAATGATCTTCACCTTGACTATTTATGAAGGAACCACGATGTTGATTAGAAATGCGGACTTTTTCTCCTTGTTCATGTGAAGACCTTTGTCCTAGTATTTTTCCATTTTTCCCTGAGCACGAACATTTTGATGTCGTTATATAGAATTGATTGCATCACTAACAAGAACACAGTTTTAAGGCATCTTCTCATTCTGCTATGTTATTTTGTGTTACCCATTTGACAGAGAGTGAGAACTCTCCTTATACTGGTTGATGACCTCAGTGGACTAATAATAATATAATAACAAGACAGACACCAAAAATGATATAAAATAAAAAAATTTAAAAACCACAGAAAAATGACCCAAAAGGCAACAAAAGCATCATAAAAGGCCATTAAATCCTTTGCAACAGCAAGTTATGATAGATTTCAACAATAGTCCATAAACTTACTGCTGATATAAGCTGCATCAAAGAGAAGACAAACAAAAAACATAGAACATTTTGTTAAATTTGATAGGGTTCTGCTGATTATTGGGATTAAAAACCTCCAACCCAAACTTGTATTGTATACCAAATCGGAAAAGAAGGCCCGCATTTTCTGACTTTAAAAGATGTGCAACAACAATAAATACATCCTCGGGTATTTTCCATTTCATGTTACAGAAAGGGCCGATAACACAAATTTCCAGACCAGAAACCCTATGAAATATTAGTCCTAAGGATACAGTACAATTGTTCTTGGGTGCACTAGAGAGAACCAAAATTGCGACATTTAAAGCCTGCATAGCAACAAAGAAAATTTGCCCATAAAAAACAAAATGTAAAGGACCCAACAGAATCATTAGAATTTCAAGGTCTGAAGGGTCTGATCTGACATTTGCGAACACTGAGAACTCCGAGACACAGAATAACAATAATCTTCACATTAACCCATATAACCATGGGTGATGGCCAAGAAGCCAATTACCTGCAACATTAATGTCTTACTTCTTCCGGTTCTTGTGTTTTACTTTGACAATTTTTCGACCAGACTTGTCAGTGGTCGCACCAGAACCCAATGAAAAGCTGTCTCCAGCACCAAATTCTAGACTACCCGATGACTGAAATAGAGATGGATTTTGCGGAGCGCTCTGATTTGGTTGTTGGCTACCAAATTGAAAGGCGAGCCCTGGCGATGGAGCAGTTGAACCAAACATAAAGCCAGATGACGGAGCTGAGATGGGCGGTTGACCAAATACCGGAACTGCAGGCATGATGGATGCCTGTACTGGGTCCTCAGCCATGCTATCCTCCATGCTCATCTGATCACCATTACCTGAGGCAGCCGTGAAGACAGGAACAGCACTACCAAACATGGGCTGTGCTTGGGAAGAGGCAGTAGCAGTAGAAGCAGCTGAAGTGAACATGAAAATGGAATCCAATGAGCCACTAGTAGGAGTGGATGATCCAAACACCATAGGGGCACTGTTGGTAGCAGCAACAGAAACCGAGGATGCTCCAAAGGAGAACCCAGTTGACGGAGACGCAGAACTAAATGTTGAGTTAAATGAAGGCTTGGTGGGCTGCCAAGTGGAATTAAATAAGCTTGAAGTGGAACCACTGGTGCTAATGGAGTTCGTCTCCGAAGAGGAAGCTGAAGAACTGAGACCAAAACTAGTGCTTGAGCCAAACACATTAGGAGTTGTCGAAGAACCAAATACAGAACCACTAGCGGTTGAAGAACCAAATAGAGAACTGCTAGAGGTTGAAGAACTAAACAGAGAACTGGTAGACGACGAAGAACCAAACAGAGAACTGCTAGAAGTAAAAGATATAGTCCCTGAAGTCCCAAACACTGGAGGCGAGGCGGATGACCCAAAGTGAATTGGCATGCTCTGCGTAACAGTTGCAACCCCAGTTCCACCACTGGTGCCAAAAAGAGAACCCTGAGACTGATTATTTGCAGTTGAAGTGGAAGAAGCACTGAATCCAAAGATGCTACTACTTCCTGTGCTTGCTGTTCCAAATGATGTGCCACCAAAAGGTGAGCTGCTTAAGTTGCCAAAGGTTGTTTCCTTCTCAGTTTTGGCCTTCAAATCTGTAGTTTCTGCACCAGAAGACGATACTGCTGAAACTGAATTTGATGGAGCTACAGAGGTGGACCCAAATTTGAAAATAGGGGCTGCCGGAAATGAAGGTGCTGCAACAGAGGTTGAGACACTGCTATTCAACGAGGTGGTCAAGGTGTTGCCATTGTTACTCATGGTAGCAGTAGTTGAAGAGGCAACATTAGAAAAGCTATTTGTGACAGTCTGATTTGTAAAATGACTGGAAGCTAGAACTGGAGCCGGGGAGGAAAATATAGAAGGACTTGAAGCAAGTGAACCATTACTTAGACTTGAATTGTTGGCAGGAGCACCAAAGGAGAAAATGCTGCTTGCTGATGTTGAAGTTGATGCAGCAGGCGAACTTGAAGTCATAATAGCTCCAGACTTTTGAGCGTCTTTATCACCTTTAACCAACTCAGGAAATTTTGGTACAGTGTCAGCACCAGAAGCAACATTGATGAAGCTGCACATGCACAGAAAGACACATTTCAGAAAACACTCACAAACTTTTTAAATAAAATGAAAAGACAGAAGGAAGCAAGAGTTTGACTTTGAATGGACAAAAAAAAAACTCTCATGAGAGTGTCAAATAATAAATAATAATACAATTTTGTTGCCAACAAAAGCCATTAAAAAGTAGATACTGACCTGTTTGAATTTTCTACCTTTGATTCCAATGGAGCACTAGATTTTTGGCCGAAAGATTCACTGACAGAAGATGGAAAAGAAAATGTGAGCGATGGAACCTTATCAACACTTTTGTAGTTGGAACTAAATAGAGGAGGAGCTGCATTTGGTTCCTCAAGGGGAACAATCCTATCAAATACTGAGGATGATTGAGGAGTGGCCACAACTGGCTGAAAAGCTGGGCTGGAAGCAGGTGCAGTAGAGAAAGAAAATCCGGTGTTTTTCTCATTCGCCACAGAAGCGTCAGTAGTTCCTAAATCAGCTGATTTTTTCATTACAGGACTAGCAGATGGCATGATTTCAGGCAACACTGGAGTTTTGTTCACAGTCACTGCTTCAGAAGCAGCAGCCTTGCTCTCTGCCACAGATATCTCCAATATTTCTTTCCCCTCAGCCAACGGTATAGATGCAGCTTCATTAGAATGAATCTCATCATCCAGCTCCAGAAAATCCTTTACAAGAGAACCATAAGATTTAATATTGTTGAATAGTACATATAAATTTGATATAAATGGAACATGAAAAAAAAATATCAGGAATTTACACATTGATTTTGAGCACATCAATTTATCTGTAAGGAATGACCGACTTGCAAGCTGTTGCTACAAAAGAGCAACAACAAGGACTAGGAGGTTAACCAATGTTGAAGCTAATAACATAGTCACACAAACCCTCTATAAGGGGTAATAGAAACAACCCTTAAACTCTCATGGTATGCTCTCTGAAGAACAATATGTTGGGTCAGGAATCAATAGTAGGAAAGATTCAGAATCAATACCCAAGACATCAGGGGACAAAAAAAAAAAAGAAGAAAAGAGAGCAGTTTGACTGAGAAAAAAAACCTACACTACATGGACGAAGAAAGGCAACACCACCAACCTCATGTGCACTCATCTGGAAAGCCTGTTTCTTTTGAGGACGTTGAGTAAGAGATGGTGTGAGGATTGAATCTGCAGTTTTAACACCGATTACAGTATCTTTCACTGAAATTGTAGTATTGCTGATCACAGCAGGAGCAAACATCTCACGAGAAACAAACTTTTTAGGGCCATTTTCTTCGACTTTGTCTTGCTTTTGAGAGCTAGTATCACGAGCATCAGGCAAACAGGTGTTGTGCATATCCTCCAACTTATTATTATCTTTGGCATTGTGAAGAATCTTTGATGAATCTACATCCTCCAGGCTTCTAAGAGCCTGGCCACGCAGCATATTTGGCATCAACTTACTGGGTGATTTCTCCCTCACAGAAACTATCTTACCCTCTGATGATTTCTCCTTTGGAACCAACTTTTCAAGCTGCTGTAATATTCTTGTAGCCATCTCAGTAGACTTAGAAGGAACAGGAGTATAACTTGTACTAGGAATGCTGTTATGCTCATTTTCTCCCACTGTTTTCGAGGTTCTATGCTTAGGTTCATCTAGGGAAACCAACTTCTGGGTTGAAGAGGGTTGAGTGGCATCATAACCAACTCCAGTTCCAAAACTAGAAAGAGGACTTCGAGATACCGGCAAACTCACATTTTTTGGAGTCGAAAGAGTAGTTTTCTGTCGAAGCCTGCGAATGGGACCAATAGATCCAATATCATCTTCTAATACAGAACTCCTACGTTTTAGGACCTGAAAAGACGAAGAAAATAAAAAATAAAAAATCTATACTATATAAAGGTAACACCTCAGTTTGGTGTGAACAACAAAGTGAGGCTGTGCAACCCTTTTTTATTCCAAAATTATCCAAAAAAAATTGTTTGTTTTGACTGTGAGGGAAAAATTGTAAAATTCACACATTTAAAATTATTCAACCTCGGCTTGAGCTGCACAATCTATCTGGATTCCCAACCCCACCCCACCCACCCACCCAAACAGAAGCGTAGCCTACTGCACACACATTGCATGTGCCATGAGTTCTAGTATATAACCAATATAATTGATAATCCTGAAAGGAAAAAAAAAAAAAAGGTTTCATAATCTCCTGGACAAATACCAATTGTTTAGACCCATGTTCACTGTCATGCTTCCATGGGAAGTGGGATGATGATGATGCAGATGGTCCACCATAACCATCATATGTGGAACCCTGGAAATTAAGCAAGATATAGCCAAATTTTAAACCTTGGAAACAAAAGAAATTTCTATGCATATACATATTGGTCAATGGTCAGCAAATAAACCTTTTGGGTAGCAGTTGGATTAACCCTGGAATATGGTGTACGAGCCATGCTATATATTGCAGATCTGCCTCGGGATCTTGGGGTCATAAAACCATTTTCACTAACACCTACACGAACAGCAGGCTTTGGTACAAGTGACATCACAGGTGACTGTGGACGAAATGGTACATTATTTAGTAGATTTGCATCTTCCCTCAGCGGTTGGCTTCGCAAACCTAACATTGATGGTGACACTTTTGAAGGCCTACCACCCATGTATGCTTTTGCAAGCTCAGCAGGTGTCGCAACATCCTCATCAAGGACCTGAAGACATTATCATATGAATATGAAATAGTGCCATAGTGCAACCATAGAATGGTGCAATCAAAATATATGAACAGAAAATGAAACATTCCACGCATGTCAAAATGAACCAAAAAAGGATTAGACATTAGAGCATATTAGCTTACTTGTGAACTGACAACAGGAGTTGAAATCGGTCCATGAAGTCTATGGCTCTCCAAGTGGGTCTCATTCCCATTTGCTTGTATTGGATTACTTGCATATTCATCCTGTCTTTCAAAAGCAGATGATGGTTGTGGAACATTTGATTCACTCCTTTTGTACTCATCCCCATTAGGTAAATCAACAGTTTTTGAATGCAATAGCTCTGTCAAACGATCAACCTCAGATCTGTACCATGTAATTCACATCAGTAATACAGCACAAGTCCACACAGACATACAGACAATTGAAACCCCAATTACAGATCTGTACCAAGGCTTACTCCCACCCCAACCCATGATGGAAAGAGGGGTTAAGGAAAGAAACAGCATCACAAGCACTATGAACCTCATGACAATATAATTAAAACATAAATATCTGTTTGGTTTTGAGTTTTTCAATCCATATTTTTTGTTTTTAGTGAACTTTCTAAATATTTTAGTCAATTTTTTTTTTACTTTTTAGATATACTTAATATAGATACACTTAAAAAGTACAAAATTTGTGGGAAAAAATCTTTTAAAAATTCACTAAATACTAAAAAATACCCAAAAAAACAAAATCCAGTACATTTTTGTATTTTTTATTTATTGAATTTTTAAAAGGTCTTTTCACAAATATTTTAATTTTTAAGTACATCTAGATTAGGTGCATCTAAAAAGTAATATTAAAAAAACACGAGTCTAAAATATCAAAAAAAGTTCACTAAAAAAAAATTAGCGATTGAAAACTCAAAAACTGTTCTTTGAAAACTCAAAACCAAACAGAGTGAAATATGTAAGACAAAAGGGAACAAATTAGAATTTAACATAAAATTCTGCAAAAGACAAAATGTTAACATCAACCATACAAGAGCCTTACAAGATGAACATATATTTAAAAAGTGAAGATATGTTATTACTTATATATAAAAAAACGCATCACATGTGAGTGCAAACGCATCACATGTAGAAATAAACAAACCCATACTCACACAAGCAAGTGCACATGCACATGCTAGCAAACAGGCACATGCAAGCGGCAAGCACAAATGCATGTTCCTGCAAAAGGCATATGCAAGGTTTTAAAAAACAGCCGCAACCGTTACATAACGCCGTTATGTAACAGTTGTGGTGGTTACTGCCACTCGTTACGGACGCTATAGCGTTGTGACCGAAATTCACATGTGTAACGGCCATAACGGTACCATAATGCCCGTAACAGTTCGTTACACACCATTACACCCTTTTATAATATTCTGAATAACTTCCTTTCCCAAAAAAACAAATAATTTAGTTCGTTACACACCATTACACCCTTTTATAATATTCTAAATAATTTATTTTCTTATATGAATTTATTTTCCCAAAAAAACAAAAAAACAAAAAAAACAAATATTCAAGTGATCCAAGTCCAAAAAAAAAATCTTATATGAATTTATTTTCTTTATAATTTTTATTTCATTACATTAACACGTAAAATAAAAAATATATAAACAGTAGTTGTATTTATTTTTATAATTATTTTATTTAATATTTAATTATAAATATTTTTTATTTTGTTACTGTAATGTGTTGTCTAAAAAAAGTCTTTAAAAAACTCAAAAATATTTTTTGTTTATGGCACAATTTTTATTTTTATAATCATTTCATTTAATACTTAATTGTAAATAATTTTATTTACAATGTCGTCTTAAAAAATGCTTCAAATTTTTTTTTTTTTTTTTGGTTTATGGCACAATTTTTATTTTTATAATCATTTCATTTAATATTGTGAATATTTTTTATTCAATTAGTTCTGGTATTGGCCAAAAATAATTTGTAGACATTTAAAATCAATTATCCTTAAAGTCATTAACTATTGAAATAAAATGTAACAAACTCATTTTATAAAATAAATAAATAAATGCCCAATTAGTACACATTAATGTGTATTTGGGAGGGAAAATATTGAGTTGGATCATACTTAAAATTTAACAAAAATTGATCAAAATCTATTTCAAACCCTAGTAAATGTGATTCTAGAGAAGAAAAAAATATGCATATCGGTAAGTTTTCTTCAAATTGCACGAAAAATTTAAAAAAACCACGGTTTCGGTTATCGCAACAGTTACGCTGCGGCCTTTATACCCCGCAACCAAGCCACTGCAACCGCTTCCGCTTTTCAAAACCTTGGGCATATGAAAGCAAGGACACATGCTCATGTGTACAAACCTAAACAAATTACGGTTAGCAGATTCATACCTCCCTTTTATAACCCATTTAACCCCCATAATATGCTTTTTTATTTGTATAGGTTAATAAGCTTCTTCTTCTTTTTTTTTCCAGATATCCCCAAAAGAAAATTAACAGTTAAGGCCATGTTCAGGATCAGGTAAATGCACAACAGCTATTGAATATCCGTCAATTGCCTTCCATCCATTATGGCATGTGATGTGAGAAATGCTAAACACCCACATCATAGAAAACTGCAGGAAAATACAAAGCATGAAGGTGTAACCATGAAGTCACATTTCACAAGCATAGCATGCACTTTCACCCACAAATACATATAAAAAAGAGGAGTAAAAAAAACATACCTAGTAAATGTTTTTTGTTTTAATATTTGCTCCAGTTCAGAAATTCCACTACCATCAGAGCTATTAGTTGGATTGCCACCATCACTGGCTGGTCCTTGCATTCCAAGAGGATTCTACACAGAAAATTATGCACAAGATACGTATATCAGCAAAGCAGGTCACAGTTAACAGAAACATTTTTCACAATACAGGACCACATATATTATCATTATCTAAGAAACATGGACACTTCTAAGTGGGTGAGACGTCCATGTCATGTCTTGTGTCCAAACATGACACTTGTCAAACACTTTCCAACACATGTTGGACACTTGTCCAATTTTTATCTTATTATTTAAAATATATATTAGACTTGGAAACGCTTTATACACTTAAGAGGACAAATTTTCCCATCGCTTAGACACACATGAAATTAACTATAAATTTGAACAAAATAACTTGGGATACAATGATAAATGAAAAACAATATAGGTTTATAGAAATTAGTGTTATGTTACATTTATTTATAATCTTCGAATGATATATTCATATATATGACATATAATAAATATATAAAATAATATATTTTGTGTGTCTACTCGTGTGTAGTGTATTGTAATTTTTTTAAAAATTGTTGTATATTTCGTGTCACATGCCCATGTTCCTTAGATTGTCATAGGGATAAGTTTGAGTAGTAATACTAATAACAAGGGCTCACATCAAAAACGAGAAAGTAGTAATAATGACAAGAGAATGTAAAACTAAACAAAGTACAGTTCAGTAATTGATAAAAAAATAAGAATATTTTCAAATGAAAAAAAAAAACTATAAAGCCAGTAACATGCTCTTACACCATAGGTTGCTTAAACTAGAGCCCAAAAGTAAAGATTCAGACTTACATTGGGAGCGGCCCCCTGAAGCTTATCCCTTGATTCTTGGTTTACTTCTGATCACATCATAAAAGATATATAATGTATAATAATAAATAATTAAAAAAAAAAAACAGACATGGTACTTTGCATTAACATAAGTGCAATTAAGTATCCCAAAGGAAAACCTAGTAAGTTCTTGAATTATAAAAACTGAGTACAATGAAAATAATTAAAAATAAGAACTAAATGGAAATCACAACTGCTGACCAGACTGTAATCAGCATCAGAAAAAGACAAGACACAATATCCTTTCAATCTTATAAAAGAAAATTGGAATCAGTAAGATAGACGTCAAAGAAAATTTATCAAAAAAGCAACAATTAAGTTAAAGTACAGCATTCTTAGCAAAATATAACATGATACAACAAGCAAGTCAATATATATATTAACATGACTAAACCCAAATGACAAGCTTTTCAGGGACTATAGATATTGTTCCCTGAGAAAAAGGATAACACACAGAAAATGAGCAAGTTCACGATCCATGTGAACGTTTGCAACACTTTCAAAATTAAGTTTTCGCATGAAATCTACCAGAATTAGCAAACAATCATCATGGGAGATCTTCTGAGGAAGTTCAAAACATAGTAGCAAGAAACTCCTAATTAGGTGACATTTCTTACAGACAAATGGGTTTCTGCGCTCCCAAAAGACAAAATTTGTAAGAAACTTGCTCCCGTTGAGAAAGAAACTCATTTCCAACTGAGATTGAAACTCTTAAACATACAAATATCAAAGAAACAAAAGAAAAACAACTTAAACTTACTATAATATTTTCTATTTATATTTCTCATTCATACTTGACAAAAACAATTTGTAATTGACATCAATCTCAAATATTTATTCATATTTTAACACATATTTTACAACTACATAGAAAAAATAGTTGTTGGAATATATTTATATAGACTCTAGCTCCCCTGCCACCGCTCTTGCTCCCACCCCCGCTTCATGCAACTATGCTTCAAACACAAAAGTGAATTTAGGGTTTCATGTGTTTCACGTCGAACCCCCTATTCCGGTCCAAGCTTCCACCTATATCCCGCACTAGTCGACAAAGTGGCTGTGACAGAACAGTTATTTCTCGCTGACTCCAAAACAATCTGCTATCAACGCTTCCATATTTATAGCAACACGACATAAATCTGCAAAGCTTAGAATTATCCTCCCCTGATCATTTGTCCATATCCAATTATTAAACTACCATGTTGGAAAACCGTTCCTATGCCCTTTCCCAATATGTTCCATGGGACCCCACCTAGAGAAGTGCCCAATCAAGATCTAACAGAAACAAACTAAGGCAAAAAAGGAAAAACGGTCATTCAACGAATTTGCTACTAGACCTGTTCAGATAAGAGGAATTCCTAACCAGTTAAAATTGTTTTTTGTTTGATGGTAAAGTAGATATCACAACACGGTAGGCTGAATTCAAATCCTATCTTTTCACCTTTCATCTAGGAAAAGAGAACCAAAAAAAAAAAAAAACTCCTATTGGAACCTTATTTGCCATTATAAGTATAAACAATTTCAACACTGAAGAAAGTATAAAACAATTGCATAGCACAGCTCCCCAACAAGAGAAGCCACAAAAACTTGGAACCAGAACAAGTGCTCTGAGTGAAAAGGGGTAAAAGAAAAATACTAATTCCTCATCCCAACCGCAAAATTGGAAACATATGAAGACAGAAAGTGGTCTAGGCCAAAAAAAAAATAGGATTAAAAAGTATAATAATAGAGTTGGATGGAACCAAAGCAAATCTAATGAATGCAATTGTAACGTTCGATATAATGTTAAGAAATTTAAAAGAGAAAAGAAAAAACTGCATTTTTCACTCATTAAGCTTCCAATTTGATCTATACCGCCATCATCAGCAAATGAACTGGAAGCAAAATAATTTCTCTATTTCTTCACAACACAACCTCCAAATCAAAGAAACAGCAAAAACCCTAAAATTTTAACAACTCCACCCAACATTTAAAAAAAAAAAAACTAACTAATTCTTCAACCAGACCTTAGCCCCAAATTCAAAGAAAATAACTGCAATAATAACCAAAATAAAACAAAAAACAAGAAAGAGAAACCTTCCTAATTGATCTACAGTACCAAAATAATGTCTTTGCAGGTCTTCACCACACAATCCCAAACCAAATAAAATATAATAAAAAACGAGAACAAATCCAAAACAGTAATTCTCATAAAAAACAACAACAAAAACAAGACAACACGTATAAGAGTTGAACCTGGTGGCGGCGGAGGAGGAGGAGGAGGAGCGAGGCGCTTGCGGAAGACGGAGGAGAAGAACATGCGAGCGCTAGCGAAGATGAGTTTGGAGGCCGGGTCTACAAGCTTGGGGAGCCAACCGTTGTTTCTAGGGTTTGGAAGAACAGTCTGCGGCGGCCGATCGTACGGCTTGGTTGGGGTCCCCCGAAATGGCTTCTTCCGAAACTTCCCGCCGCCGCCGCCTTCGCCGCCATAGGAAGTGCCTTCGCCGGCCGTCGTCGACGCCATGGAAGAAGCACTTGAGCTCTCACAACAATGGATTGTAGAGAGCGAACGTTGAAGAGAGAGAGAGAAAAAAAAAATAGGGTTTTTAGGAAGACACAGAGATGAGAGAGGCACGGAAAGTGAGATTGGAAAAGAAAATTTGGGGAGCGTTAGAGAGAGAAAGAGAGAGAGAGAGTTAGAGAGAGAAAAGGTCGAGGATCGAGTAGGTATATTTTACGCGAATTGATTTGAACTTTTTGTAGTTATTTTGGAGATATGATAATTTCACAGAGCATATCATTTTCAATATATAACAGGCAATCTTAGACCGTGCACTATGTAGGAAAGTGAACTGCCGACTCCAGTCATCGTCGAGGGTAGCGGTTTTTTTTTTAAATAAATTATATTCACCATCCTTCGATTTTAAAGAAAATACAATTAATTTGACATTTTTAATGTACATATATTTAAATTTTAATTTACATAATATTTAAATTCTTTCTCATCAATTTGAGTCATATAAGTGAAAACATAATATTGTCATATTTTTTCTATTAAAATATATATTTAAATTTATTTATTTTAATATTTATTCATCATTTACATTAATTTTGACTGTTTTAATCTTATTAAAAAATTAATATAATTATATCAAATTTGTGAAATTAATTATATTTTTAAAAAAAATTTATAAATGTAATTTTTTTTTCCCTAATGCTTTTAACTGAGGTGGTGCTAAAACTAATGAATAATACCGTTGTCATTATGATATCCAAAAATAAAAATAATATTAACAACACTAATAAATTATGATATCCAAAAATAAAAATAATATTAACAGCACTAATAAATATCTAGGAATAGTACTCAGCTGTCATTATGATATAAAAAACAAAAATAAAAATAATATTACTAATAAATACCAACAACTCACAATATAACACAGTTTTTAGTCAATTTTATATCAAGAAGTAGTGAGATAGGAAATTTTTTTTAAGATCTTTCGTATTAAGATTTTATAAGATAAATGATATATAATAATTTTATAGTGGTTGAGGTCTCTAAACATTTTCATATAAATTTTGATTTAGAGAAACTTTGATTCAAAAAAATTTCAAACAAATTTCTCCGGTTTGAAATTGTTATGGTTTGCTCAATTTCTTTGATTTTTTTCTGTGTTTTGAAATTTTTTGGTGCTTTCAATTTTTCCTAGGTTGAAGTTTCTCTAGTTTGCTCAAAAATTTCTTTGTGTTTTGCCCAATTTTCTCTGATTTACTCACAATTTTGTTTGTGTTTTTTACCAAATTAGAAAAAATTGAACAACCACCATTTTGACTAATTTTCTCTGAATTGTAAGACATTCGCACAGCAGGTACATCAATGTCAATCGAAGCGATCTTGCTTCCAATGTATGTATCAAATTTTGCACATACAAATATTCATTAACATCATATATCGCGATTTTATCAATAACAATGATGAGATAAAAGAAAGAATTTGTTAAATTGAAGGTTTTAACAATACCAATGATGTAGGTTCTGATGGCGACGGTGAGAAGAGCTTGAGTGGGGTGAAATGTGGCAGCATGCAAATTGTTTAGGGTTAGGCCAAGCCAATTTGGTAAATTTCTTAACGACGATCCACTTATGATTGTGTAGCAAGACCCTTGTAATCAAGATTGGGGGCTCTTTTGCTGCTTTTTGGAGACGATGTATTCAGGGCTGAAGTTGTTAATGGCAGCTTTGAGGTATGAGAAAGAGAACTCCAATAGGGAGGGAACTCTAGTGTTTTGTCCGCTGAAAGGCGGTGGATGGACGAAATGTGGGTTTGTACTTTGTGACAGCTGGTGGTGGTGGTGATTGTTGTTATTTTTTTTTCTTTTTTTTTCTTTTTTTGAGTGTGTTTCTACCGGCAAGGTCGATTCACAACAACCCATGTCTGAGTAAGTCTTAGAGTTGTCCTCAGATGGCCAGGGAAACCATTTTACAATGAAAAAATTGTAGAGATAGAGAGCATAAATGGATATCTCTCTCTATTAGTTGTTTCACTTTATTGTTGTTGTGTGTCTCTTTCTCTTTCCAATCTTTGGCACTGGTGATAATGATAAATATTGAATTAGAGTGTGGTGTGGTGTGTTTATTAAGGGACCTTAAGTTACAAAAAATAATATTATAAATTTCTTCCATTATTAAAAGTTGGATAAGGATATTAGACTAATTTTCTCTTGTGAGATTTTCTCTCTTAATTTGTATATTTGCTGTAATATTTATCTAATATTACTAAAAATTTACAAAATTATAAAAATTTGAACTGAACTTTAGGAAATTTGAAGAAACAAAATAATATATACAAATCAGGAGATTTTTCTCAAAATTGTGACATCTTGGTTGTGTTGAAAATCTATTTTTTTTATAAAATAAAAGATAATAAATAAAATTTAATTTTGTGAAATCTTTTTAAAACAAAACTCATAAATTGTACGTAATTTTCTTGGTGATGAAAGGGGAATAGGTATTGTAGGAAAACCCCATATCAATGTGAAAATGTTGAAATTATCTTTCTTTTTCTATTTGATTATTTTTGCCAAATTAATTTTTTTTTTTCAAAAACTAAGCTTAGAAAATTCATTCAAACAGAAATGGTGTAGGTTTCTTATATCTACGCAAAATATAATAAGGTCCTTCAAATGCATACTATCCATTCTGTTTGGTACCATTTATTAAAAATTAAAAGATAATAATAAAAAATAGAAGCTAAAATAGCCCTCCCTCAACTTTCCAATAATATTTTTTTTTTCACTTATTTAAACTATGTTCACATTATAAATTGTAAACAAAATTATACTAAACATAACACAAATTTATAAAGAAAAAATAATAATAATAATAATAAACAACCCCAAATGCGACACCAAACAAGTTCTAACATTTATCTGTCATATAATAATTAAAATCTATATAAGAAGGGAGAATGGTTTTTGAATTTTGATGGGATTGTTGTCCCTGTGTCAAAATGTGAATCGTTAGATTGAATCAATCCAACAGTCGAGAAATGTCCAGGAGACATTTATATTTCAATGGTGGATTTATAATGGTGATTCAATCCTACGGTTTCAAGAGAAGAGTTTCTTTATTTTGAGATCTCATTCAAGTGCAGATCTTTTCTTCCCTTCCATCTCTCTCTCTCTCTCTCTCTTTCTCTCTCTCACATTCAAGAGCAGATCGGCGACTTCAGTAGCCTTGCTAGATCGGTAGGTCCAAATCGGCATCATCGCAGCAACAAATCAGTGAGGTTCACTATATTTGTTCATCACTATATTGAAGCCACAGATATCATCCCTTTGTGTATATATATTGAAGAGTTCATTCAAAAGGTCAGTTGAATGGCATCATCAAACGATTCGAATTTGGCGACAATGACATCGAGAGACGAGGCGGAAGAGAGAGGACAGAGTAGCGACGATTTTGATTTGGACGAGTCCAAGGCTTTTATTTCATCAAGGGTGAGATTTTTTTTTCTCTATCTCTCATAGTTTGTGTTTTTTTGGTTAATTAGTGTGTTTGATTTGAAAGTTATATCTAATTTAGGATGATGAGAATGAAATCTGCAGGAAATGAATTGGTTCCCACTATTGGTTCCTCGGTGGAGCTAGGAATTGCATCTCAGGTATTACTAATTGCTTTTACACTTGGACATCTCAAGTATTACTAATTGCTTTTACACTTGGACATTATTGTATTAAAAGTAGTTATGCCCTCCTTTTCATTTATCAAATCCTTTTTATAGAGTAGATTATTCATTGCAGATTTTATTGAGTACTTCACAGATCCAAATGCCATTGAACCACTAGATATGCAGATTTTATTCCCATTTGTGGAGTCTGCTCTGCCCCTGGCATATGGTGTTCTGGGGTTCTGCTATTTCACGTAAGAAGAATTTCTATCTTTTTGTTGATTTAGTTGATTGAATGCTTTTTCTTAAGGGGAAAAAAAATGTTTCTTGAATTAGGAAATGTTTCTGCCAAGAGTTGGTTGGTTGGTTCAACTTCTAGAGAGAGAACCATCAATACTCTGTGTGTGTGTGTGTGTGTGTGTGTGTGTGTGTGTGTGTGTGTGTGAGTGAAAGGTCTAGACCTTTTGGGACCTTTTGCGGCTCCAAATCAAGAAATTCAATCTGAAAACTTCAAACTTTGCGCTAATTTTTCTTGAGGTTGGTCACTGTTCATGGTTTAAATTTAAGCTTTTGTTTGAAATAATATTCATGTCAATATGTGTATACTCACTCAACTCTCTATTGTAATGATATCGAGATTTCCTTGATTTTTGTCTTTTCTGAATTAGTTAAAATTTTCTGATTACGATTCGTATTTCCTTTCTATAATTTGGTGAATTCCACTACTAATTCATTGCTTAGTTGATAACAGTGCATTTCATTGCTTAGTTGATAATTTGATTCAATCATCTACCTAATTCCATGCATGTGATACAAATTTGTGTTTTCATATGGTTATTAATGTATGTAAATTTGCTTTATCTCTCTGTTTGTTTCTTGAATGGTTTACTTACATGATTATGAAAGGTTATTCCTTTCAAAAAAATGCTTCTAAAAGTAAGGCAGTAGCAAACAGACTTAAGCAACTATAAAAAGGATATATATATATATATATGCTTCCCTTAATTTTTGTTGGAAATGGTAGAAAAATTCTAGGTAAAACCAGAATTTTTTCTCAAGTTTGGTCTATTTTTTAGGTGGGCCCCGAGTGTCGATTTACTCGGGTCAAAGTGGTAACGCGTTCTATGCCGCGTTGTGATTCACGTGGTATATTTGGTTGCTCAAAACCATTACTGAGTGAATGGGAAATTGAAGCCAAAGTGTGCTCCATGAAAATGGAGTTTTGGTGGAAATTCCTTAAGGTTGTAAATTGGCTTGTCCCACATTGATTTGGTGGGAATTTTGAAAGGGTTTATAAGGCTTGGGTGAGATACTTGGGGTGTGCCTCAAGGGGTACCCAAGTGTTTTAGAGGGAGAGGTTATGGGCAAAATGGGCTAGACCCATTGGACCCAAAAATCACCACAAGCGCGCGCGGCCGCCGCCGTCGGGTCGGGCGGACTGGGCTGGGCCTGGGCGCTGGTGTGTGGTTGGGCTTCTAATCTTTTTGGGCCAAAAATATTTGAATTTAATTTTATTTTTTAGTAAAATAAAATCCAGAATTCAAATTAAA